ATTACGAATAATACGTGGAAAGTAACGCTGCATCCTCCAACGCAGCATCTTTTACTTCTTCTCCCGTTATCTCATCCCTTTCGTCTCGTCGTCCTTTCCTCTCGCTCGCTCGCTCGCATTCCCATCTTCGGTTCTCATCTTCGCTTCTAAAAAGTGAATTACAGAGCCCTACGAAGTGCGGTAACTGTTGATAACGATTAAAGCTACGATAATATTCTTGAATTAACGTGCGTGCATTAAATACAATGACTACGACGCGCTTCGTCTCGCCGTCTCTTCCCCATCGAGTCTTATCGCGTCTATCGTTTGCCGTATGTACGAAAGGATTTTCTCGTATCTTCCTTTCGCCGATATTCCCGCCCGGTTCCACCATCTTTTACGGTATTATATTTACGTATATTTGTCTCTATCTACTTTTTTTATCTTGCACTCGTCCGTCGTTTCGTTCGTTCTTTCAAATTCGACGTATCAATTTGTTTGTTTATTTTCTCGTTTCTTTCTTTTTTCTTTTTTTTCTTTTTTTTTTTTTTCTCTTTACGAATTCGGTGCGATCCACAGGAATCTATTCGATTTAAATTTCGACTCGATCGAGGATTCGAGCATCTCGAGGTTCTCGAAGGATATCTTTTCTTATCGCTTTTTTATTCTTTTTTGTTTGTTTGTTTCTTTTTTCTTTCTTTCGAATTCTTCAAGAGGAATTCGATACTCGATCGATCAAGCACGCACGACACGATTCTTCGACGTGAAATTACTTGCTCTACTACGCATTGGCGCTGTTCTCGAAGCTTGGCCCACTAAATCGGCAAATCAGAGCATCGTTATCATCCAATCTCGAAACATCGTATTTCCTTCGACGATACGATCGATTTCGAATTCGAAGAGCAGAAACGGTGAATTTTCCCCACGAGAGTCGAGTGGTCGACGATATAAAAAATGCAACACCAACTCGTACGCTAAATCATTTCAGTGTCAACAAGTATGCGTCTCGGCATACGCCTTCGCGAGACGCAAAGGAGGGAAGGAATTTGCTCGATCCGAGAAAAGGTGAGACAAATTCACGGCTTGGACGCGAACGACGCTTATATCCAGCTCGGCACAAGGGAATGAAGGCTTCCTTACGAACGATTTATTTAGACGTGCGCAACAATGGCGACGACGATCACGATACACGACCTAAACATGTTGTCATTTAACAACTATTGGACGGAGTCGAGCGACATCGTGACAAAAAAATCCTCAATTTTTCTTTTTTTTCGTTCTCCCTCGTTCGGCTCTCTCCCATTCTCCTCCCATCACCGACCTCGCTCGTCTCGTTCGTTCCCTCTAATCGTTCACACTGCGATTGACGATCAGCACGCTGTCGCGCGCGCTGATCCAAATCTAGGTTAGGTGATCCGGATCCCCGTTGATGTTTCCGCCTGTCTCGATTGCCGCGGGCAGGAGTCGAAGCAGGTGATCAACAGGACGTGACTCTTGCACGCGTGCACCCGCTTCTGCAGGATGCACGTCTCGGCCTCGAGCGCTTCCAGGAACGACGGATCTCGCCAGTCCATACTGTCCTCTACGTGAACTGCAAAAGTCGTGAAAATAAATAATAAAGTTATTTTTTTCTTTTTTTTTTTTTAAATATACAATTCTCGAAAGGAATTCGAGTGGAAGAGAAGATAGATACTGACGATCGTAGGTCCAGCGTGAATCGGGCACCATGAGGCGCCTTTTAGCGTCGCGCAGCTCGAGCCTAAGAAGGCGCTGCCGTAGTCGCAGGTTGTGTATCCTGGACATCGTGCCACGTGGATCCGAGCGCAACCGCGCGCGCCTGTCCAGGATGTCCACGTCCTCGCTTGTGTAAGCGAGTATCCCCGGGGCCGCGGATGGCGGTCGTGGCAGATGGGCCCGGCACTGGCCCCGTGACCGAAGCCCGCACTCTGCCACCCGCTGTTCCACCGCTGAAACACCCGCACAACGTCGAGGTTAGAACTCCCAAAGCGCCACCTGAGGAGAACCACCGTACGGAGGGACCATTTTAGAGGGTTTTTCACCTTTGTCTTCTCGTCGCGGGGGGGGACGTGTCTTTGAGGGTTTTTTGTGCAAGATTTCCTCGACTATTTCGTGTTCTTGTTCTCGTCGTCGTGCGAGATTTTCCCGAGCGATGGCATGCGATTAATGGGAGAAGAAGAAGAAGAAGAAGAAGAAGAAGGGATCGGGGAAAGAGATCCCTCGATTCCCTTCTCGAGAATACCCGTTTATTTATTGCCGGGAGGAAGGAAAGTCGGGAAATGCGGAGAAATACCAACTACCTTGGTGCTCTTGAAGCGCCCCCGTATGCCTGGACGAATCGCTGGCGATGCTGCTGGTCTCGCTGTCCCTGACGATGCTGTCGTAGCCAGAACTTTCGGCACGATGCCTGGACAGAGTGGCTGGCGAGAGTTTCGCTGCCCGTGGCGTCGAGTCCGCGCCAGAATCGTACCCCTCCTTGTTCAAACCCATCGAGGAGCCGAGACTCGTAATTTTACGCTGCATTCGGCCCGAGGATGGAGCCGGTGACGGGATGGACAATTGGAGCGGTGCCGTTGCTGCTGCAAAAAAGTTTTTATTTTTCTCTTTCCATAAATCCTATTTCTTCGAAACAGAAGGAAATCTTCCCCTCCTCACCTTGAATCTTGCTGTTCAGATCCTCCTCGATGTCCGACTTGCCGGTCACCGTTCTCTCACCGGACCTCTCCGCCGCCGTGAACAATTTCTTCGCCTCGACGTACTCCTCCTCCGGATCCGAGCCGGAGGCCCCGTTCCCCGGCAACCTCTCCACCTCCTCCTTCAGATTGGGATTCGAGGCCCCGTCCGGATGCCTCAGGCTCGAGATGTTGCAATCGCCCAGTTTGCCGCAGTACCTTCTCGGGCTGGCTATGTGCGCCACGCTGTTCGGGTACCAGTAAGAGGCCGTGGCCGGCCTCGTCATGCTCTGCCGACAATTGTCGCATATCTTCTCCTGATCGGATTTGCCGGCGATGTACGCCGGCTCGCTGTAGATGCTGCCGTGGTTGCTCGCGTTGTCGTTGAACATCACGTCCGATAGGGACAGGGATTGACATCGCGACGGCGGACGGAAGACGGGGGCGGCTGCAATTTGTCCTGCGTTAATGTCATACTTGTTGTACACACCTAAGCCGATCGTGAGAAAGAGAGAAATGTGCGATTTCTGCTCGCGACCACCCTCCCCGTTGCTGGATTTCCTTTCCGAATTGGAATTCTACGACGGAGGATTGGAAGAGGATTGGAAGAAGCAAGTGGAAACGCAACGAGGGGGGGTGCACGATGGAAAAACACACGGTGGAAAAGCACACGAAATGGATGAAACTTTGAATGAGACTTACATGGAGTTTCTCTGACGTTCGCGTTCGAGGAGTTCTCCCTTTGATACGTGACCGAGTTGGAAACGTTGGCGAGCGCCAGTTTGCTTTGGTAGAGCTCGTGGAGCCGGGCCAATTGGTCGAACTTGTGCCTGGTCTCTTGCTCGAGAAAGTCCTCGTGGTCGAAATACGGCCTGGGCAGGACACCTGCGCCGACCGGAGGCGGATACTGCGGTCTGTACCGTTCCGTGTCCGACATCACCGACATCGAGTCTGCAAATTGCGATACGTGTTTCTTTTTCTTTTTTTTCTTTTTTCCTCCTCCTCCTCTCTTTCAGATCGAGAGGGCGAACAAAGTTGCTCCGAGAACGAAACAAACGATTAAATGATAAGAACGAAAGAGAGGGGAAGGAGAGCGCATTTAGTCGGAAGCCGCTCCTCTCTCTGGAGCAGCGTAAGAAGATGAAAAGTATCGAGTAATTACATCGAACCTTTCCCTTCTTTCTCGATCGTTACGCGATCCTCGAGCGTTGCCATCCTCTTTTCTCCTAACCCCTCCCCCGATACGATTGTTTTCCACCAAAGCTCGGTTGGCGGAACGATCCAAGACTCACTCTTCAACGGCAACGGATCTTCGAGGTATTCCGTTCGAGTACCGTTGAGAACGGAAGGAAGAGAGAAAGAAAGGAGAAAGAGAGAGAGAGAGAAGAACGCGGAACGACTTGGCGTGGTACGAGCATCGAGGAAAATTGTCTTTTCATGGAAAACCGTAAGTATTTTCTCGAATAAAATAATATCTGGCGAAATGAAAGTGTGTGTGTGTGTGTGTGTACCGAATATATCGGCCAATAACGGATAACACGGTGAAAAGAAGAAGGATATTTTTTATTTGCTTACCGGTAAAGGTGGATACGACGGTAAGATTCTCCTGGCTGAGAATTCTCAAAGGATGTTCCTCCTGATCGCTCTCGGGCAAAGGATTCTCTCCCATGCACAACGCGATGTCCTCCTCGGTCACCTGGAGGCACGAGTCCTGCATGGGGACGGGTTCCAGATCCTCGACCTCGACGATCTCCAAGATCTCGTCCTCGGAGGACAGGGAATGCCTGGAGGGCAACACGATGTCCTTGTGCGACAAGTTCAGGCTCTCCATCGAGACCTCCCTGCTCACTCCGTTGCTGAGCGGCTCGATGAGAGGCAACGGCGGCGGAACCACGATCTCCTCGTCGTCGTCCTCGTCCTCCTGGAGATCCAACTTCCCTTTGTCCACGCTGTCGTCCATTACGGGGCTCGCGGTCAGATCCAGGCCCGAATCCGTGTTCGACTTGACGTTGAGAAGGTTCAGCTTGGCGCCCAGTTTCTCGGTAATGTCCTCGATCTCGTTCGCCTTCAAACTGTCGCTCTCCACCGTGGACAACGAGGTGTCGTCGTCGTCCATGCCCGAGCACGTCTTGAACGTGGTCAACTCCTTGAACTGCGACACGACAGATTGCTGGCCAGCCTTGGACGCCTCGATCCTCGCCGCTGCGTGCCTGCTCTTCTGAATCTGCGACGCCTGATTCTCCACCCATTTCCTGATCATGCTCTTCTTGTGGCTGTCCATGAACCCGTAGCCGGAGGAATGTTGCTGGGCGTGCAGTTGCAAGGTGGGCGGGCCGGTCAATTGCATCGGCCCGTCGATCCACGTCTCCCTCTTGTGGTGGGCATGATCCTTGAGCATGTGCCTCGCCTCGGCCACCTTCGACTTGGAGATCCTCGGCCCGTCTATCCACTGCTCGTCCGAGCCACCGCTCGCAGCCGCCACTGGGATCTTGCTCCCGGGCGAGTCGTTCACCTTGGACGAGGGGAGCAGGATCTTGGTCGACGAGCTCTTCCTCGCGGGGCTCGCCTTCGGGGTGGCCGTGTGGGCCGGGGACGTCTGCTTCGAGGCCGTCTGCGTCAACGTTTTCACCGCCTTGGCCGACTTGTGGACCGGGCTCCTCTCCTCCGGTATCTTGCAAGGCCTCTCGGCCGCCGACCCCCTCAACACCCTTCCCATCGCGCAACGATTGTCCCCGGAGTTGAGGCTGGGTATGTAGACGGGGGGATGCTCCCCGTCGGTTGCGTCGTCGGTGCTCGGCCCCACGTAGATCACCGTGTCCGCCGACAGGTCGCTCGAGCTCGGGTCGCACTCGCTGTTCTGCCTGGCCGCCTCCTCCCCCGAGCTCCCCCCGCTCCCCCCACCCTGCGCACCCCCGCCACGAACTTTATCTTCCTCCGCCTCATCCGGTGAATCCGGGACGCGAGTTGGACCGTGGTCAACGTCTCCGTGTAGTGTTGGGCGTTCGGGGACACGTGGGCGATCATCGCTGCGTGGCACGTCAACGAGCCGAGGCACTCCTTCAGCAATTGGGTCAGCTTGTGCTCCTTGTACGGCAGATGCTTCTGCCCGTTGAAGATCGCCAACAGGATGTTCCCGAGCCCGGACAATGGGATCCCGCCCGACGACTTGCCGCGATCCGAATTGCCCAGGTCCATCAGGTGGAGCCTGCTCCTCCCTCCGGCAACTGGAAAACATTTTCGTCAATTCGATCTGCCTTCTTTCCCTTCGGTATTCGATCGAGAGGAATCAAGCGTTCGACGAAGGAAAGGACGACGGAAAGCGAGGTCACTCGAGGCCGGGACCTCGAAAGGAGAGGAGAGGAGAGGAGAGGTAGTTTGCAGGCAGCACGATGACAAACGTTGTTTACGAGGTGGAGAAGGGGAAGGAGAGCTCACCTCCACCCTTGCCCGCGACGCTGTACTGATAAACGTGGAGGGTGTAGAGCATGTGCGCGTCGCCGTCCTCCCGTTGCCGGCCCGCGACCGCCGCGTCCAAATAGAAGGCGGCACGTTCCGCGGTCGGTGCACGAAGCTCGCTGTGCTGCTGCAGCTGCAGGCTACCGAACAGTGGGTCGTCCCTCAAGTACACGGCCGGCGACTGCTCCGAATCTGGGAACAAAGAGCCACGGCAAATCACGTTACACGCGTCCCTTGCCACGTTTGTCACCAGACCACGCTCCACGATAAATAATAACGCAAGTGTTTTAGCTTTTTTCTTTTGTTTTTTTTTTTTTGTTTTTTTCCTGAAATACGTGAAAATATCCTGGTGTAATAATAAGCTTTAAGCGTAAGTCGCTAGGGAAACGGGAATTCCGCTTTTGTCGACGTTTTCTCGATCGGGTGAATTTAACTTATCGATAACTTGAATTTACGTGCGTGATAACTTGCTTAACGTGTCGAGAGGAGAAGAAATAGCGTCGAAAAATTTAGTATCTATTCGTGTCTATTTATGGAGAGATTGAATATTTCGCGGATTTAAAATAAAATACGGGATGTCCGATATTATCGTTTTGATTTACGTTGCTATTTCTCTCTTCCCGGTGAAAAATATTTCGAGTAGTAAAGTTGAGTGATTTCAAGAGAGCATGTTGCGATATTATTTATAGTATTGTAGAGACGTTGTATATAAAATAAAATTACAACAACTATTATTATTTTCTGAGATTTTTAATTATCTTCCAAAAATATTCACAATCGATATTCAGTAAAACGATGAAAAAATGTTCGATGTAAAAAAGTAAGTATAAAGAAAGGTAAGTAAAATACCAAGAAAAATTTCACGTATCACTCCACTCGAATATATATATTTTTGATACGAAATCATTACACATAGTAAATTCGACAAATGGAATAGTTTCGGTGGTTCCTAGAAGTGGCGTCGAATTCTTGGAATTTAAGGAATTCTTGGAAATGACGTCAAACTCCA